GTGCAAAGATCTTGGATTCAATCCCCAGTGCAGAAGAAAAGAGAAGGAAGGGAGGGAGGGAGAGAGAGGGAGGGAGGGAGAGAAGGATCCTCGCAGCAATGTTTGATGCACAGTAATTGCCATGGTTGGAGGTTGTTTGTTGCCTCGGAATCACTGTCCTCAGTGTGGGGACCTTTAAGAGGCGGGGCCTAGTGGGCGGTCCTTAGGTCAGTTGGGGGTGTGGCCTCTTCCTGCTTGGCCCTGCAGCCACCCTTTAGCCTGCAGAACCGTGAGCTAATCAAACCTCTTCTCTGTAAAAGTAGCCCACCTTGGGCATTTTGTTATAGTCACAGAAGGAACAGAAGCTTGGGGGAAGTGCACAGGATGCCTGGGGAGATGAGTCACAGAGGCTGCCTTGGCAGAGACTGATTCCTGAGCCCCAGGGCTGAGGGAGGGCCGGTTGTTGACAGTCTGGCCATGCAAAGGTCCTGAGGTAGGAAAGAAAAGCACGATGTGTTCCAGGCAGGACCTGCAACCAGAGATTACAAGCAGTGTGTGGCGATGCTCATGACACCCCCATGCCCAAGGGACTTTGGCACAGGGCGGTGCCTAGGGCACCCAGGGCTGAGATGAACAAGGGTCTCCTCTCCGTCACCCATCTCTCTCTGTCCTTGGACTTTTTTCTTTTTTAATTTTTGAGACAAGGGGCTGGGGATATAGCTCAGTGGCACAGCGCCTCCTGGCAAGCATGAGGTCGTGAGTTCGATTCCCGGTACCGGAAAAAAATTTTTTTTTTTTTTTTGAGACAGGATCTCGCTAAGGCTGGACTCAAACTTGAGACGGGCAACTTAGCGAGACCCTGTGTCAAAATAAATAAAATTAAATTTGAAAGGGCCGGGGACGTAGTTCAGTGTGAAGGTGCTGCTTTCAATGCTTAGTACGAGGGAGGGAGGGAGGGGGGAGACAGGCAGAGAGACAGAATCGCTGCGAACATTTACATAGCACTTAGTGTATGCTGGCGATTCCTAACTGCTTCCTCGCATTACTCAGTCAACCCCGTGGGCAAGGGGCAGTGAGCCCGTCTATCCCACAGATGTGCAAACAGGCACAGAGAGGCCAAGCGACTTGCCCGTGTCACACAGCACCAGCGGGGTCAAGCTGGGACCTAGATCCGGGCAGGCCAACCCCAGGTCCTGCGCCCCAGGGCCAGGCCCACCCCACCGTCTGGGAGGAGGAGAAGGACGATGGGGACATACGAGGCATCCGGAGAGCATGCGCGTTTCTGTGTGCGGTGTCGTCCGGAAGGATGCGGTGACTTCACACCGAATCCTTTTGTGGAGGGCCGTGGGAGAAATCCCTGCCTGTTTTCAGGACCAAAAATAGTTGTGCCTTCTCCCGAGCAGCTGGCGTACTTTTGTTTCAGGACACTGAGAGCCGCGTAAGTGACCAGCTTTCTCTTTCTGAGGTGGCTGCTAAGGGGTTCAGAGCCAAATTTATGGCCCGGCCATATGCCGATGGGCTGGGTTTGAACGGAGGAGCTTTTCTGAGCTTCAGCTCTGGCTCTGTCTTACATTCCCACTTTTGGGTTTTTTCCCTCTTATTCTCCTAAGGGGAGAAAAAAATTAAACTGGGTTTTGAAAACTCAGCAACGGGCCGATGGTGAATACCTATACTCCCAGCACTTGGGAGGCTGAGGCAGGAGGATCATTGTGAGTTCAAGGCCGGCCTGAACTAGATAGTGAGACCCTGTTTAAAAAAAAAAAAAGAAAGAAAAACTATAAAGCTGAGGCATGGGGTGTATGCCTGTTCAGGAGGCTGAGGCAGGAGGGCCACAAGGCCAGCCTGAGCAACTTAGCAAGACTATATCTGAAAAATAAGAAATAAAAATAAAGGGCCGGCTGGGCTACAAAGTGGGCTCAGGGCCAGCCTGAACTGCACTTCGAGAGCCTGTCTCAAAAAGACAAAAATAAATAAATAAATAAAAATAGAGGGCTGGGGTTGTAGATCCGTGCTTTCAGGCCCTGGATTCAATCCCTAGTACTGCCAAAAAGAGAAAAAAAATGAACTCTGTGAACTCTGATTTTTAATAACTGTGTAATATTCTATCTGAACATTTTTAAATATTTCCCCCCATTGCTAGATAATCAGAAGGGAAACAAACCCAGCCCTGCCCTGTAAGCCGTGTCCCACTGACGTCCGGGCAGCCGTCTAGCACCTGCCCCTCTGATTCCCACACCCTGCAGGGTGAAGCGCGGGCTCTGCCGCCAGGGCTTGGCAGGCTGCCCTCCGCAAACGTCTGGTCCTGCGCTCAGATTTAACTGGAGCTATCTTGTGGTATTTTACATATCCTCCCTTGTAAACCACTTAGCTGCTTCTCTGGAAAAGCAGGGTACAAATAAATATATAGACCCCGAGCCACCTCGGCTTCCTGATTGAATCAGCCAGGCTTGCACGCAGTAATAGCCTCATTTTATTAAGAGGCAGCTGCTTGCACTCCTCTGTGAGCCAAATCCCTGACCGCCGGGCCCCGGGGGAGCTGTGCCGGGATCGAACCCGGGCCTCGCCGCGGGTGCAGCCGGGCCGTGGGCGGAGCTGCAGGAGCTGCGCTCCTGGCGACAGTGAGGGTAACTCGGTGTCTCAAGCCTCCTGCATCCCTGGCCTGCTCTCAGCCTGGTGCTTAATTAGGGCAGCAGCTTGGGTGAAAGGACGATTTGAAGAGCCGCTCCTGGAGCGCGGGGCTCACCCTCTTAGAGCCCGTTAGCGGGGATATTGAGCCCGGAACCAGCGCTCAGCAAAGGAGAGCGGCTGGTTTCTCCGGCACGTTTGACACAGTGGAGGTGCGACAGGCTGGCCCGTCAGGGATTTCCTTTTTTATTTTTAGTTTTTTGAGAAAGGGTCTCGCTATGCAGCTCGGGCTGGCCTCAAACTCTAGGCCAGTGATGGTGAAGATTTTAGAGATGAGTGCTCAGACTGCAACCCCAAACCCACTTACTTACTGCAAAGTGCCAAGCCTGGATTTAATCCGGAATGCTGAGGTTTTAGTTTAGAGAACAGAACTCATACATTAACATCTTTTGTCTATAAAGAAAAACGAATAACATGCATACCATAGGTTTGCCACTGCTGCGCCAGGAGATCCTCCCGCCTCAGCCTCCCAGGGGCTAGGCTGAGTTTGTGACTGTGGTTGCAAGCTAGACCTAGTCTAGGAGAAATGGCATTTGGACTCTTAAATATAAAGCCCTGTTGGATGTGGTAACACACCCCTGTAATCCCAGCTACCCAGGAGGCCGAGGCAGGAGGATCCCAAGTTTGAGCCCAGCCTGGGGAACTTAGGGAGACCCTGTCTCTGAATAAAAAAAATTAGAAAGACTGGGAATGTAGCTCAGTGGTAGACTGTTTGCCTAGTACACATGGACCTCTGAATTTGATCCCCCCAGTGCCATTTTTTTTTTTTTTTTAATGAGCTGGGTGCAGGAGGCTGAGGCAGGAGGATTCCGAATAGTTCAAAGCCAGACTGGTCTGCATAGTAAATTCAAGGCCACCCTGGAATACGTAGCGAGACCCAGTCTTAAAGAACAAAAACAAAAACCCAAACCAAACCCTAAAAATAAATAAATAAAAAAGCCTTCCAAGACATTCTGGTGGCTTCTAGGGACCGGAACTTGACTGCATATTTGAACTCAAACCCTCGGGGCAAGGCTGGGGATCTGAGTGGCTGAGAGCTGGCAGCTAAACCCCAGGCATTTAATTACACTGCTGCAGAGAGCGCTGCGAGGTGCATCTGACACAGACAATTATTTTAGGAAAGCCACGGAGGCTTTCTCCTCCTGCCACTTAAAGCTTGCTTCTCTTTTACAATTCAATATTCCCTGTGTTGTGAGAAAAGGCCTTGTTTGCCTTAAAGGACACACGAGGAAAAGCAGGGAGGAGACGTTAATTATGTTGAACCGGGCTGATTTGTTTCTGCACAAATGAGAGTCTTTGGGGGAGGGAGCTGTTGTCCTCACTGCTTGGGGACCAGAGCCAGGGGGATGGGGAGGGGCGCTCCGCGTTTGTTTGGCTTTGTGTTGGTTCGTAGAACTGGATTCATCCTGAAAGGAGACAAAGCTAATTCGACATTCTTCCAGAGCCAGGGGCTGGGCGTTTGGGGCCCTTCTTTCTTGGCTTAGGTGGGGCTTCTCAGGGAAGGACTAAACACAGGTTATGGCTGAGCGCAGTGGCACCCAGGAGGCTGAGGCAGGAGGATGGCAAGTTCGAGCCCAGCCTGGGCAACTTAGTGACTCAGCAAGACCCTGCTCAAAATTAAAAATGAAAATGAAAGGGCTGAGGATGCAGCTCAGAGTGAAGGCCCTGGGTTCAGTCCTTAGGACACTGAGAGAACCTGTAGCCGTCTACTCAATCATCCACAGATTGAAAATATTGGGAAAAATACTGCACCTGTACTGGAGTATACAGAATTTTGGGGGATTGATCCCAGGGCCTCATGCCCATTAGGTGAGCATTTTCCCTCTGAGCTACATTCCCAGTCCTTTTATTTTAATTTTGAGTCAAGGTCTTGCTAAATTGCCCAGGCTGGGCTCCAACTTGTGATCTCCCTGCCTCAGCCTCCCAAATATCTGAGATTACAGGCCTGCACCACTGCCTGAGGCTCAAATTTTGCTTCTTATCATGATTTCCTAGACTATACTAAGAACTCTTACAATAACATTTACATCGTATCAGGTAGTCATCACAAGTCATGTGGGGACAATTTCGTCTATGGGAGGGCTGGGGATATAGCTCAGTGGCACAGCACCTGCCTGGCAAGTGCAAGGTCGTGAGTTCGATTCCTGGTACCCAATGAAAATAAAGTCTATGGGAGCACCAGGCATAGTGGCACATGCCTGGCTGGAATCCAAGCACTTAGTAAGCTGAGGCAGGAGAATCACTGTGAGGGAGTTTGAGGCCAGCCTGGGCTATGTAGTGAGTTCAAGGCCAACCTGAACTACATCTCAAGACCCTGTCTCAAAAAAAACCCAAAAAATAAAAATTAAACAAATAAAGTCTATGGGAGGCTGTGCAGAACTTCTACGCAAAGGAGAGGCCGCAGGGCTGGTCCTTACCCCAGCCTGGGAAGCCTCCAGCAGTGGGGACCCCAGGGGTTCTGCATAGATGTCGGCCCTCTGCAGCTTCCATCTGGGCCAGGCAAGGCTGAGAGCAGAGGGGCACAGGCCGATAAAACAAGGGGCTCCCCGGTTGGGCAGGCGGGAATCAAGGCGCACAGCATGATTCATTATAGTCGTTTCCGAGGCCTTTACAAATGGTTTATTTTCCTCATAAATTAGCACAGAAGTCGAGCTCAGCCGTGCAATTATGTCATTTGCTCACATTGCAATACGCTGAAAAAAAAATAAAAGACTTTATTGAGTGGGAGAGGAAAAGGTGGGGTGAGAGCAGGCGTCTCCCGGTTGCTCGTAACGCGCAGCCCGGCTTACCGCTGTCGGGCTCAGCCGGCATCAGGAATGACGGTGCAGTGATCAATCTTTGTGGTTTTTTTGTCTCCCTGTAAAAGACTTGTGGTTTATCAGAATCTCTTGCACGTCTGTAAGAAGACATCTGGGGGAAGACCAGCATTTTCCATTTCCCAGCATTCAGGAGGCTGAGGAAGGAAGATCTCAAATTGAAACCTAAATTGGGTGTGCTGGTACACACCTGTAATCCTAGCACTCAGGAGGCTGAGGCAGGAGGATCCCTGTGAGTGAGTGAGTGGCCAGCCTGGGTTACATAGTTCAAGGCCAACCTGGACTATATAGTGAAACCTTGTCTCAAAAAAAGAAAAAAGATTTTTCCGTGTCCCATCTTTATGGCCACTACTGACCATTGCTTGCCTGGGCCCATGTGGTCACTTCTGCCTCAGCCTCTTTCCTTGTCCCTACAGCACCCAGAAGTCACGGTGAGCACTTGAGTTTGAGTATGTCCTTCTGTCTCTCTAGAACCCTTTATAGCTCCCACCTTACCCAGAGCAGATGCCAGGCCTTGTGGTGGCTCCTGATCGCCAGCCTTCCACCCTCTCCTACCACTTACCCACTTGCTCCCCCTGGTGAAGCCACATGGGCCTCCTTCAGGTTTCCCAACACCAGGCCACAAGGCCTTTGCATGTGCTGTTCCCTGGCTGCACCCTTGTTCTCTTGCTATCTTTGCTCAGATGACAGCTATAGTTGCAACCTGGTGACCCCCACATCCTCTCAGCCCTTCTCCCTTATTACTCTCTCCATAGTTCTCATTGTTTAAATATACTTGATATTTTCTTATTTCTGTTTCCTTCCACCTTAATAATAAAACTCCTAGGGGAGCTTGAGTGCAAGTGTGTGTGTGTGTGTGTGTGTTGTGCCTACCTGGAGTAGAGAGTCTGATATGCAGTAGGAGCTTAATAAGTGTTTGTGGAACTGATGAGATCATTGTGCTCTATTAAAAGGACTGGGATGCTGGGTGCAGTGGCACACATCTGTAATCCCAGTCGTTTGAGAGGCTGAGGCAGGAGGGTGGCGATTTTGAGGCCAGCCTGGGCAACTCAGCAAGATAAAAATAAAAAATAAAAAGAGCTGGGAGTGTAGTTCAGTGCAGAGGACCTGGATTCTTTCACTGGGATCAAGAAAGAAAGAGCGGCAGGGAGAAAGGAGAAGAATAGAGGGGTACACCGGGCGTGGTGGCACATGTTCGTCATCCCAGCTCTGCAGGAGGCTGAGACAGGAGGATCACAAGGTTGAGGCCAGCCTGGACAATTTAGGAAGACTTTGTCTCAAACTTAAAAAAGAGCTAGAGGTGTAGCTTTGTGGTAGAACATCCCTGGATCTCACCCCCAGTACCACAAACAAACAAAAAGTCAGGACCTGTGGTTAAATCCTTTGTGTTCCAAGGAAGCTGCAGGCTGATCAAGAGTCCTCAGTCCTGTGTCTGCACACTCAGATCCACCCAGGTGACCAATCAGTGCAGTGGAAGAACTATTTTTTTGGGGGGAGGGTCTTGATATGCAGTTCAGGCTGGTCTTGAACTCACTATGTAGTCCAAGCTGGCCTCGAACTCATGAAGACCCTCCTGCCTCAGCCTCCCGAGTGCTGGAATTACATGCATGCGCTACCGTGGCCATTTTCTAACTGTGGGTATGGAGGCAGGGCTGTGTGTGCACCTATGTGTGTGTGAGAGAATGAATTCCCGGCTTGGGGAAGAGCTGAAACCCCCAGTTCAGCTGTGAACCTCGCTGTGAACCTTAACCCTTCTGGGCCTCCCATCTGTAAAATGGGGCTCCCTGGGGAATAATCGTGACCCCGCTTGATGCCCCCCCCCATATCTCATTTGGAACTTCTCCAGGCATCCCGCGAAGGGCGCACATTTTCTCTCCCAGCAAGATCAAGGCGAGCCTGGCATGGCGGCGCACGCCTGTCATCTCAGCTGTCAGGAGGCTGAGGCAAGAGGATCGCCGTGAGTTCGAGGCCAGCCTGGGCTACGTAGTGAGTTCAAGGCCAGCCTGGACCACATAGCGAGACCCGGTCTCAAGAAGAGATGGAGGGGAGTCCTTCGCGGGGTCCAGGTCCTGACCCCACCTCTCGCAGACTCTCTTCCAGAGCCCGGAGGAGGGCTGGCAGCTGTACACCTCGGCACAGGCCCCCGACGGCAAATGTGTGTGCACCGCTGTGATCCCGGCGCAGAGCACCTGTTCCCGGGACGGCCGGAGCCGGGAGCTGCGGCAGCTGATGGAGAAGGTAGGACCTCGGGCCGGTCCGCCCGCTGTCTGCACCCAGCTCAGCCTGGCCCCTCCGGACGCGCCTGCGGGAAGAGAGCGCTCTTCTGTTTCCTTTCTCCTGGGTGGTGCTGGGGATGGGACCTGGGGCGTCCCGCGTGCTAGGCAAGCGCTCACCGCAGAGCCGCACCCTCAGATCCAGGTGCATGGATATTTTAATTCAGTATCTACTCAGCGCTCTGGGGAAGAGAAGCCGAGGGCTTGGGGGTTGGGAAGGGGGAAGATCCCAGGGGCAGCATCCGGGCCTCAGCGTGCGCGCCCCGCCCAGCCTTTAGTGCGCATGACCTGGCCGCGCTCTCTGCCCTTGTGGGGCTCACCCTGTGCGTCTAGAGGATCATAGAAAAACACTCACTCCTAGCCGGGCGTGGTTCTGCACGCCTGTCATCCCAGCACTCTGAGAAGCTGAGGCAGGAGGATCTCAAGTTCTAGTCTCCCCTGGCCAATTTCGTGAAACCCTGTCTCAAAAAAAAAAAAAAAGATAAAGGCCTGGTGTGGTGGCGCACCCCTGTAATCCTAGAACTCAGGAGGCTGAGGCAGGAGGATTGCTGCGAGATCAGGGCCAGCCTGGGCTACAAAGTGAGTTCAGGACCAGCCTGAACTACATAGTGAGATCCTGTCTCAAATAAAATAAAATAAAATAAAATAAAATGAAATAGAAAAGGGCTGGGCATGTAGCTCAGTGCGAAGGCCTTGGGTTCAATCCCCAGGCGAGGCCGGGGTAGATGAAAGGATGTTCTGGGTAACGTGGGGGATTACCTGGTAAAGGGAGCGTGGGATGGCGGCCCCGAGGAGCTGATGCTGGCCCGCACACCTGCGAGGCAGGAAGGCAGCCGTGGGGCGATGCGGGGAGCACGGCTCTGCATGGCGGGACCGCAGGTGCAGCAGCCCGGGGAGGGCGGGGCTTCGGCCGCAGTAACCATGGGGACGGGAAGCAGCGAGGAGGCAGAAGCAGCCCTGGCAGGCTCTGCCCAGGAGAACCTGCTCCCCCTGCGGCCGCGGCCGTGAGGCGGGCGGGGGAGCTGTGGAGCTGCGGGGTGGCTGCTGGTGAGATGGGCGAGGACGAGGCTGGCCGCGCGTCTGTGCTACCTCGGGCCTCGTCTGTGGCGTCCCGGGTTGGGGTGGGACAGGGAGTCCTGGACTCCACGATGGCCCCCATCTCAGGTCCAGAACGTGTCGCAGTCCATGGAAGTCCTTGAGCTCCGGACGTACCGTGACCTGCAGTACGTGCGCAGCATGGAGACGCTGATGCGCAGCCTGGACGCGAGGCTGCGGGCGGCTGGTGGCTCCGTGTCAGCCAAGAGCTTCCAGGTGGGCGCGCCGCGGTCCGGGTGGAGGTCCAGCGCGGGTGGGTGCCACAGCAGGGCCGTGCCTGGGAGGACACGCGGGCTGGCTGGATGTGAGGGCCAGTGTGGGCCCAGTGTTGCCAGCTGAGCATTCATCAGAGAAAGCAGGATGAGGCCGGCGTGGCGGTGCACGTCTGTCGCCCCAGCAATGGGGAGGCTGAGGCAGGAGGATCGTTGGGAGTTTGAGGCCAGCCTGGGCTACCAAGTGAGCCTGAACTGCCTAGCGAGACCCTGTTTCAAAAAGACAAAAAACCCACGAGAAAGAAAAATAGGAGGGTGGCGTTGTGGGGCAGAGGTCAGGGTCAGGCTCGCGGTCAGGATGTCCTCGCTGGGTAGGAGCTGAAGGACAGGATGGCGGAGCTGCTGCCCCTGAGCTCGGTGCTGGAGCAGTACAAGACGGACACGCGGACCATCGTGCGGCTGCGGGAGGACGTGCGGAACCTCTCGGGCAGCCTGGCCGCCATCCAGGAGGAGATGGGCGCCTACGGCTACGAGGACCTGCAGCAGCGCGTCCTGGCCCTGGAGGCCCGGCTCCACGCCTGCGCCCAGAAGCTGGGTACGCCGGGCCGTGAGCCCTGACTCCGCCCCCAGCCCCACCCCACCTGACCATTTAGACCTCCAGGGTCTAAACCTCCACCCTGGACCTCTCTACCCAAAGCCAAACCTGGGGACTGGGGATTTAGCTGGGACTGGGGATTTAGCTCAGCGGCAAAAGCGCCTGCCTGGCAAGCGCAAGGTCCTGAGTTCGGTTCCTGGTACCGGAGAAAAAAAACAAAAAAAAACAAACAAACCAAAGCCAAACCTGGTCCCCAGCGCTGGAAGTGACCTTGACCCTTCACCCGACACTCCCCATCCCCACCCTGCCTCTGCCCCGGGGTGGATTCCTGCATCTTCCCTCACCCTCGCCCCTGCTCCTGCCTCCCAGGCTGTGGCAAGCTGACCGGGGTCAGTAACCCCATCACCATCCGGGCCATGGGCTCCCGCTTCGGCTCCTGGATGACGGACACGATGGCCCCCAGTGCGGACAGCCGGGTGAGTGACGGCGCCCCTCACACTGCGGGTCAGAGCCCGGCAGGGGCGTGGCCTGTGCCTGCTCACGGGGCCGAGGGTCGTCCTGGGTCCCACAGCCCTTGGGTACGCCCTGGACTCCCTAGCGACCCGCGGGTGACCGGGACCCTCTAGCCCTGAGAACCCCAAGACCCAGTGACTGCCGATGACTGAGTAGGGAAGCAGGGTCACCGGATGGTCCCTCACGGCGGGGACGTGTTCTGTGAAACGTGAAAGGCCGTCACGTGGTGCCAGCATCACAGAGCGCAAACAGAGCCGGTGACAGAGTCGCCAGGCCATAGGACCTTAGCGAGCCATTGTAAATGCGGCCTGGCCTGTGACATCACGTAGCGCGTGGCTCGCTGCCGGTCTCTGAACGACCGTGCCACTAATGCCTTCCCGGAACCAGACTCCTGGCACTGCCTGGTGACTGACCCTCAGACCCTGTGGAGTCAGGATCGCCCTTACCTGGGCCCACAAGAGCCACTCACAAGCTGCCCAGTGACCCTCTTGTAACACTGACCTTCCTAGTGACCGATGTTGGTGACTGGGTGGCCACTGAGTGTCTCAGCCGCCATTCCACCATGTCGCTGGCCTCCCCTGGATCATGGGGGTTCGAGGAATCCGTTGGGTTGGGGGCCACACTTGGACTTGCATCCCGGTCCCACCACTTTCTAGCCAGGAGCCTTGGGTAGGGTCCTTAATGTCTCTGTCCAGTGTCTGTATCTTCAGAATGGCCGTGACATCAGCCCTGGTATTTTTAGGATTCTTAGCTCAATAACAAGGGCACTCAGCTAGACATGATGGTGGTACATACCCATCATCCCAGCACTCTAGGAGGCTGAGGCAGGAGGATGCAAATTCAAGCCAGCCTGGGCAACTAATGAAGCTCTGTCTTAAAAATAGAGTAAATAAACGGGGTGTGGTGGCTCACGCCTGTAAACCTAGCACTCAGGAGGCTGAGGCAGGAGGATCACTGTGAGCTCAAGGCCAACCTGGGGTACATAGCGAGTTGAAAGCCAGCCTGAACTACATAGTGAGACCCTGTCTCAAAATACAAAAACTAAAAAAAAAAAGTAAATAAATAAATAAGTGAATGAAAGGAAGAGAGAGAGGGAGGGAGGGAGGGAGGGAAGGCGGGCTAAGGATATAGCTCAGTGCAAAGGCCCTGGGTTCACTCCTCAGGGTGATAATAATAATGGCCCTCACAAGTGCTGTTACCATGACAGTCATGACGCCGTTGATGGTGGGGATGACAGTATGCCTCGTTACCTGGTGGGGGTTGCAGGGGTTACCCCTTGGCAATGACTGCGTGACCTCTTATCACCCAGTGGCTGTCCAGCAAACACTAACCAGCCAGTGTCCAATCACCCCTGAATTCTTGGGCTCAGGGAGTCCCCAGGGAGTCCAGCTTCCCCCAGTCCTTCGGGACCAAGTGCCACCGAGCTGGTGTCTGTTGTGAGACAGGCCACCAGGTCTGTGTCTGGCCTCGAGTGGTCGCATGACGGCCACGGGCGGCCTATGGCTGAGTAACGCCCGCGATAGTGATGCTAGAGCCCTCGTGACTGCAGCTGAGTCCTGAACGGGCCCTGGGTCCCTCGGGCCCCTGGCGGTGGTCTGTGCAGTGACCCGCGCTCGGCTATTTCTGTAGGTCTGGTACATGGACGGCTACTACAAGGGCCGGCGGGTCCTGGAGTTCCGCACCCTGGGCGATTTCATCAAGGGCCAGAACTTTATCCAGCACCTGCTGCCGCAGCCCTGGGCGGGCACGGGCCACGTGGTATACAACGGCTCGCTGTTCTATAACAAGTACCAGAGCAACGTGGTGGTGAAGTACCACTTCCGCTCGCGGTCGGTGCTGGTGCAGAGGAGCCTCCCGGGCGCCGGCTACAATAACACCTTCCCCTACTCCTGGGGCGGCTTCTCCGACATGGACTTCATGGTGGACGAGAGCGGGCTCTGGGCCGTCTACACCACCAACCAGAACGCGGGCAACATCGTGGTGAGCCGGCTGGACCCGCACACCCTGGAGGTCATGAGGTCCTGGGACACCGGCTACCCCAAGCGCAGCGCGGGCGAGGCCTTCATGATCTGCGGCGTCCTCTACGTCACCAACTCCCACCTGGCTGGGGCCAAGGTCTACTTCGCCTACTTCACCAACACGTCCAGCTACGAGTACACGGACGTGCCCTTCCACAACCAGTACTCGCACATCTCCATGCTGGATTACAACCCTCGCGAGCGGGCCCTGTACACCTGGAACAACGGCCACCAGGTGCTGTACAACGTCACCCTCTTCCACGTCATCAGCACCTCGGGGGACCCCTAGGCCTCAGGCTGCCCAAGGGCTGCTGGGGTCCGTCCCTCGCTGCCTGCATCCCTTCTGGTCTGTCTCTGTCATCCCCTCTCCCTTCTGTTTTCTCTCCCTGCCTCTGTCCTGCTTTTGTTCTCTGCCCTTCTATCTCTATCTCTGCATTCTCTCAGTTATGTCTCTCCTCCTTATTGATCTCTGCTTTTGATACTCCACTTCTTGGTTGTTCTGGCTTTTTATTAATGTCCCTATCTTTATTTATCATTTTTTTGTGGTACTGGGGATTGAACCCAGGGCCTTTGCACTGAGCTATATCCTCAGCTCTTTTTTTGAGAGATGGTCTCACTAAACTGCTCCTTTGCCCACGCTGGGTTCAAATTTGAGATCCTCCTGCCTCAGCCTCCCAGAGTGCTGGGATGACAGGCGTGCACAACCACGCCCAGCTTGTCTTTTTATTCATCTGAGCCTCCAGGCCTGTCTTTCTCTTTTTCCCTCCCCTTCTTCCCTGCTTCCCACAGGTCCTCACCCCTCTCCCTTGCCCCTCCCTGCTGGAGTTGCCTGCATGGACCTTTCTTTTTTATTTCCATGTTTTCTTTCCGGGTGGCCGGAATAAACAGGACCTTTGACATTTGAGGCTTCAGTGGCTGTGTGTGTCGGTGGCCGGAGTGGAGGTGCAGATGGAGGCGGGTGCTGGTCTCTGCTGAGCCCTTGTCCCTTGATTCCGTTTGGTGGCTGGGTGGCTGGGGTGGAGCTCGGCCCCTTCCCAGGGCAAGCCCTTACGCCCTGCCGAATTTATCCTTTCTTCTCTTTTTGCTTTGTAATTTCAAAAATTGTTTTTTTTTTTTTTTTTTTTTTTTTTTTTCTTTTTGAGACAGGGCCTCACTATGCAGTTCAGGCCGCCCAAGAACTCATAGTGTGTGCTTCTGTTTCTGTTTGTTTCTTTTTTTTTTTTTTTTTTTAACTGAGTCAGGCATAATCTTAGTTAATAACAACAGCCAGAAGGTGCACTTGGCTGGGTTAGGGTGAACCCCCCACCCCCCCACACCCTTTTATTGGTGTGAGTGTGTGTGTGTATGTGTGTGTGTGTGTGTAGTACAGGGGACTGAACTCAGGGCCTTTGCACTGAACTACACCTGCAGCCCTTTCTTTTGAGATATGGTCTTGCTACAGTGCCCAGGCTGGGCTTCAACTTGAGACCCTCCTGCCTCAGCCTCCCAAAGTATTGGGATGACAGGTGTGGACCGTTGTGCTTGGAAGGGGCTTGGGCAGGGATGGCTCCTAATAGGAGGACCGGAGCTCTTGGAGAAGGCCAGGCAGACAGGAGGGAAGACCGACAGGAGGGCTCTGCCAGCTGGATCTGCAGGTGGACTGCGTGGTGTGATGAGGGACACGCTGAGGACAGTGGGTGCAGGGAGTGAGGGGTGGCACAGGGCTAATCCTTGCCAGACCCGAGGCTGGCCCACACTGAGGCCCTGGAAGGTGTCAGGGAGGACTGCTCTCCCCATGTCTAATTAACGGCCTCCCTGATGAAAGCATCTCCGGGAACTCGGACACCGGCCATATTGGGAGCGAAACTCATGAATAATAAACGGGGCTGCCTAATGCACTCATTTAAAACTAATTTTAAAGAAATCCTCCCGAAGACCAATTAATTTCCATTTAAATGAGCAAGTGTGACACGAGGAAAAAAAAAAAAAAAGATGGCTTTCTGGATTAGCTTGTGGAAAGGCCCTTTGCTGGATCCCTGCTAGAGAAATGAACAAAAACTGGCGGCCCACACCTGCCGTCCCAGGATTCTGGGAGGCTGAGGCAGGATCGCTGAGAGGCTGAGGTCAGCCTGGGCTACCCAGTGACTTGGCGAGACCCTGTCTCAAAATACGAAGTTAAAAAGCGTTGGGGAGGGAGCTCAGGGCAGAGGCCGGGGTTCAGCCCCCGGTGCCGCCCACGCACCTGGGCACTAACCCTGCCTGTCTGGGACCCCGTCTCGGTGTCTCTCTCACCCGCCTCAGCGCTCCTGCGCCTTTGGCTTCGGGGTGAGCCCCAGGTATGGCAGTGCCCTCCCCGGGCCGGATCCCTGTCTGTCGGCCTGCCGCGGGCCGTTCTCCTCGTCGTGGACCTGCACGTGGCTCAGACCGGGGGCTGCAGCCCGGTCCGGGCAGTAAGGCGGCGCCAAGGGGCCCGGCTCCCGCTGGCCACAGAAGCCAGGGCCGAAGCTTGCGGGGCGGGTCTGGATGGAGACGCCTGCGCCGATGCCGGGGGCCTGCAGGCAGCACAGGGGCGCAGCGCTTGCCCGGGCCCTGGGTCCCTGCCCGAGACTGCACTGCCGGCGGGATTTACAGCCCGGTGTGACTGCCGCGGGAGGGGAACGCGGGGCAGGCAAGGGAAGCCACAGCTCCGTAATAATAAATCAGCGGGGCGTCGAGCGGGCTCTGGGGGCCCATTTATCTGACACCACAGCCTTGTTCTCACTGGGCTTTGGCCACGGCTCAGAAAGACACGGGCAGGGGGAGCCAAGGTCCATGGCGACAGAGGGACTCCCAGCAATGCACAGGACAGACGGACAGCGGGGCACAAGCACACATGCGCCCTGGACGCCCAGGGTGACGGTGCCCTGCAGCATTTCAGACCCCACGGGCCCCAGGGGTTCGCGGTCAGGCTCAGAGGTGTGGCCAACCCAGGAGGCTCCGCACAGCCCGGGCCGGGAGGGAACTCATTAAACCTTCCCGATGACAGGCTCGCGGGCGGGAGGGGGCGGCTGGCGGGGAGAGTCCTCCAAGTGCCAGCGCGGACGGGCGCGGGCCCAGGTGACTGCTCAGCAGACCCAGCTCCGGGGGAAGGGCCGGCGCGCTCCCGGGCCCAGCCTCGTTTTGCTCAGGTCCACAAGCCCCGCCAGCGGTGGCCACCAGCGCGATCCAGGCCGGTCGCCGTCATGCAAGGCGCAGGCGGGTGGTGGGGGTAGGCGGAACCCGTCTCCGTCGGGAATGCGGGACCCCCAGCTGAATCCTGAGCCCCCAGCCCGGGCCCAGGCGGCTGTGGGGAGATGACAGGAGGTGGGCCCGGCATGCGCCCCCCACTCAGAGGTCGGAGAGCCCCCACCTGCCGTGGGAGCCCCTCTGCTCAACAGCGGCTGTTCCCAGCCCCCCACGTGGATCCCCGCCCTCAGAGGTGCCGGCAACCCCCCCGTGTTTCCATGGTAACAGCAGCTGCGGAGTGCCCGTCTGGCTGGCAGAAGCTCCCCCGGTGGCATGGGTGCTGGGGCACCGATGTAATCCGCCCTAACCGCCGAGGGGCCCGTGTGTTGGGGGGCGCGCGCAGGGCACCCTGGGGCGGAGCATGGCCCTCCCCTTCCCCAGAGCCGCCGGCTCCACCCAGTGCCTGCGCGTCCCTGCCCGTGGTGGACGCGGCCAGAATTCCCATCAGGACCCCAGGCGCGGAGAGAGGCTGCGGGAAGGAGGCGGGTGTGGACACCCGTCACCCCGGGGGTGGTGGCCCCTGACCCCCATGGTGACCCTCGCCTGGAGCGGAGGCAAATGAGACACAGCTAGCAGAGTGGTTCCGGCTTTAATGGGGGAGGCAAAGGGTGCTGCTGCCCGGCTGTCGCCCCCGGGCCCTCGGCCCGCGGCCCGGGCACTGCGCAACCGTGGGCATTTGCAACTGGACGGGCCCTGGTGCCCGCCTCTGGGCCGGGGGCGCCGGCCGCGCTCAGTCCCCTGGGTCCGGGGGTCTCCCCACCCGCGCCTCCTCTAAGGTCAAGCTGTCTGGCGGGGCAGCCCCGACTGCGGAGGACGGGGCGCAGAGAGCACGAGTTCCCGGCTCCGCCGGCCCCTCCCCGGCCGCTCGGGGACAATAAATACTGCGGCGGCCGCGGGGACGGCGCGGCCTCACTCCGTGCGCAAGATGATGTGGATGCCCGAGTCCGTGAACACCGGCCCGCTCATCTCCCCCGTCCGCAGCGCGAACGAGGCGTCTTCGAATGGCTTCTGCATCTGACCTGGGGACGGGAGGGCAGGGGCGGCGTCAGCGGCGGAGCCGCGGCGACACTGGGCAGCCCCGGACGCCCCAAGACGGCCCGCGGGACGGCGGCTGGCGGCTGCGCACTGAGCGCCGAGGCGCGCTTCGCAACGAACCCCCAGATCCCCGGGAGGGACCCCGCCTGCCCGCACACCGCGGCCCCTTGGCACCCCAATTCCCTCCGCCCTGGCCAGACCAGCCTAAAGTCCGGGGGGCTCATCTGACCCCGCCTCCTCGCGCCCGTTTTCCCCATGTTTTAGGGTGCACAGGAAGATTCTGGGGGGCCCCTGAGCCCCCATCTAGAGGAGATGCCACTGACGGGTCAGGGCCACCCTGCTGGGCCCATGATGGGGACAGTGGAGCCGCACACACCGAGCAAGGCCCCAGGGGAAGGAGGACGCAGAGGCTCCGCGCCACGGCGGGACTATGCTGCCACCTGGTGGCCGCTGCGGGCCCCGCGGCAGCCAGCGGGGCAGAGCAGGGCTCGGCTCGCCGTGGGAGCTGCAGCCGCGGGGGAGGGTGGTGCCCACTCGTTGCCCACCTCTGCTGAAGGCACCCAGGTCTCCCCGGGCCTTGGCCGAGCTGCAGTCGCTGAACTGTGAGGCCAGAGACTCAAAGTTCTCCTCTCCCGACTTGATCTTCTGGATGTAGCCTGCAGGGGGGCAGCACAAGGAAAGGCCGCTGGTCAGGGTGGGGTGCGACCGGGGGCCGTCAGCCGTCCAGACGCACCCAGGACCCAGCGACCTCACAGCCACACCGGTCTCCTGTCGCTCTGTCCCCGACGCACACGCATTTCCACGGAGGTCGCCCCGGAAGAGACCCCCAGTGGTCTGGGTCAGCTCCTTGCACCCGCGTGCCACAGGAGAGCAGCGCGGCTCTCCTCCCCCAACAGGCGAGCCAGGTGGGGGCGCCCCGGCCGGACCTGCCGCGTGTGGCCCAAGCCGGCCCCGCGCTCAAGCGCCTGTGACTCAGGTTTGGGAGCAGCGTGGGGCAGAGCTGTGCGCATGCGCGCGTGTGTGAGCGCACACCTGCAGGCGGGCACCGGATGCGGAGGTGCAGCCTGCGCCTTCCTGAGTCCGGCCGGCCCGCGGGGTGGACAGGAGGCTGGGTGGGCCCCGGACAGCGCGTCTGTACCCCCACACCCCGCTGCCTTCCTTGAAAGGTGAGAGCAGCTGACGCCTGTCGGTGGCGTCCGCACCCTCCTCACCTGACACTTCGCCCACTGCTCCCGTGACGCACACGGGTCTCAGCACACCTGCCGGGCGTAGACGGCAGGGCCACGGCCACCTGGTACCTGTGTGGGCCCCGCAGCGACCCCGCCGGTGACCTAACCAGCGCTTCAGGGCCTGCTAATCCTGTCATGTCTGCCCGACTCGGCCCTGGGCCTGGCCCCTGCCACACGTCCATGCCATCTCTACCCGACGGGCTGAGGGGGGCAGCATGGCCGGGAGGACACGGGGGACACAGCGCCCCACACTGAGATGCCGACAAGCGCCACCTGCTGGCTCCATTTTCCCTCCCGGATGGGCCGCCTGTCCCGGTGACAGATGAAGCGGCCCCTTTCTCTCTGCCCTGCCACCTCTGGCACCCCAGACCCTTCCGTCAGTGACTGACCGGGACCAGATGTTCCTGGGTCACCTGTCCTGCTCTTTCCCCGGGCCCTCCCCCATGCAGCTCTGGGTCCCCTACCTGTCCCTTCTACGTGGGCCACAGTGACCAGCGAGGAGACCGGACCCTCCAGCACCCCAGGCTACCTGCTGTCTCCGGAAGCAAACTGTGAGGCACTGCCCTGACCCTGCCAGGGCGGCCTGGTGTCCTCAGGCAGTGTGTGTAGGTCACCCCTCACAGCTCATAGGGCTCTTAGAAACACTGCACTCAGGCAGGAGTCTGAGGTGGTCTTAAAAGAAAAACTTGACAGGCATGGTGATGCACGCCTGTCATCCCAGCACTCGGGAGGCTGAGGCAGGAGGATTGCTGTGAGTTCAAGACCAGCCTGAACTGTATAGCCAGATCCTGTCTCAAACAAAGAAACAAACAAACAGAAAAACTGTTTTCTTCACCAGGCATGGTGGTGTGTACCTATACCAGCACTCTAGGAAGGCGAGGCAGGAAGATCACAAGTTCCAAGCCCAGCCTGGGTAACTTAGCCAGACTCTCAAAATAAAAAATACAATAGTGGGGCATAACGCTGCACACCTGTAATCCTAGTGCTTGGGAAGCTGAAACAGGAGGATCGCCATGAGTTCTACGCCAGCTTGGGCTACATAAGGAGACCCTGTCTCAAAATAAACCAAACCCAAGAAACCAAACGGGAAGTGGGGGATGGGCAGCACAGTGCCGTGTGTTCCCCGCCTGCACGCACCCCAGCACAGCACCCAGCCACAGTGAGGTCCCCCCGGTCCTGTCTCTCCCGCATCTCCAGCCTTTGCCTGCTGCTATCTGCTCCCCTGGTACCTGCCTGTGTCTCTGGCCCTCCCCCAGAGCCCCCAGCAGTGGCCGTGTGTGACGTCCCCACTGTCCTGCCTGTGTCTGTCAGCACGGGGCCTGGGCGCCTTTGTTCCTCGATGCCCACCCCCCCGCCGCCCCGCAGCTGAGCACCAAACACGAGCTCACCGGCAACAAGGGCCTGGTGAATAAGCGAGACGGGAACAGATCCCAGGAGGGAGAGAGAGCCCTGGTTTTCAGGCAGAAACGCTGGAATCCTCTGCCTTTTCCTTTCTTTCTCTTTGCGGCGTCAGGATGGAGCCGCATCCCCAGCTGCCTTTTCTGCCTGGCCCTCAGGACCCAAGCGGGAGGCCAGACTCCCCGGGTCTCCTCCACCTCCCTGAGGCGGGGCCCCTTCAAGTCTGATGCCGGGGCTCTGGCTGAGCTTGGCTCCGGGCAGGCGTGGCATGGGTGGACCTGCGGCTCCAGCTGCTGGGTTCTGAGCCGAGCCTCACTGACTGGTCTGTAAAATGGGGAAACAGGCGCCCCAAACCTGGAGGGAACGAGTGACCTGCAGAGCGGTGGGTGGCCTGGAGTGAGCCATTCACAGACAGGAACTGTCCGCCCACCTGGCACAGGCCGAGCGTCTGTCCTCAGAGGTGCTCGGCGAAGCCCCAGCCGCCGGTGTGACTGCATGCGGAGGGGAGCCGCCAGTAAACTGAGGTTAAACGCGGTCGTCAGGGTGGGGCCCTGGTCTCACAGAATTCGTGCTTTTTTTGGTACTGGAGATTGAACCTAGGGCTCTTGCACTAAGCTACATACCCAGCTTCTCTCTGCCTTTTAAGATTTTGGGACAGGGTCTTGCTAAGTTGCCCAGGCTGCGCTTGAACTTGTGATTCTCCTGCCTCAGCCTCCCAGAGTGCTGGGATGACAGGCATGCACTGCCACGCCCAGCTAGGATCAATGTCCTTATAAGAAAAGACACCTTCCCGGGTACCAGAAAAAAAAAAAAAAAAAAAGAAAAGATACCTAAGCTAGGCGTGGTGGTGCATGCCTGTAATCCCAGCACTCAGGAGGCTGAGGCAGGAGGATCACTGAGCATTCAAGACCAGCCTGGGCTACAAAGTGAGCTCCAGGCCAGCCTGAACTGCATAGCAAGACCCTGTGTCAAAACAAAAAGACACCTGGTGGCATAAACCTGTCATCCCAGCACTCACGAGTCTGAGGCAGGAGGATCACTGTGAGTTGAAGCCAGCCTTGGCTATATAGTGAGTTCAAGGTCAGCCTGAACTGCATATTGAGATCCTGTCTCAAAGAAATGGGCGGGGGGAGAAGAAGAAAAGACACCACTAGGTGCAGCGACACATGGCTGTGGCCCAGCTGTTCTGGAGGGTGAGACCACTTGATCTCAAGAGTTCAAAGCCAGCCTGGACTGAATAGTGAGACCCCGTCTCAAAAAGAAACAGAAGGAAAACAAAACCCGAGTCGCCAAAGCGCCTGCCTTTTCTCTGCACCGGCACTGAGCAAGGCCACGCGAGGACACCGTGAGCCAGCAGAGGCCTCACTGGGAACCACACCGGCGGGAGCCCGACCTCGGCCCCCAGCACCGTGACTGCCGGGCCCGCCGGCCTGAGGCCCATCACTCAGGAGGGGGAGGTAAGCAAACAGCGCGGGGCCCGGCCCTGAAAAGGTCAGAGACAAACTCTCAGCCCGTCTGAGAGTAAATCCACGCGCTGCGTCCGGTCCCCAGGGCCCAGGGAGCGGAGCTGGGACCAGGTCTGCCACCCCGAAGGCCCAGCACCCACAGGAGGGGCCCTGACACCCTGCCTAGGCCAGCAGGCTGACGGTGCCACTGACCTTGGGGACACCAGGTCAGGGAGCCCAGTGACCCCCGAGTCTGGGTGGGACCGTGAGGACCGCGGGGGGAGCACTTCCGGCTGTCAGCTGCCGGCACCTGGTGTGCAGGGCTGCAGGGGGCCGTGCTCCTCCGCCCGCCTTCGTCAAGGACATGGGCAACGCCACCCTGCCGGGCTCGGCTTCCTGACAACCACCGGCCGTGGCCCAGCTGCTGCCGAGAAGCCTCAGCAGAAACGGGGCAGCGCTGGTTCCTGCAGGTGGCCTGTCCCCTTGGGCCACACAGCTCGGGCTGTAAACGGCACCGGTGACAGTTGCGCACACGGCCTGCCAGCTGGGGCAGGCGCTACCCGAATCGTCATCTCCCGGGCACCTGGACCGAGCCCAGGAAGGGGCAGAAAGCCAGCATGGTGCTCGCGAGTGCTGACCTGGCACGGCACGGCCTGGCTCCGCAGTGCGCCGCAAGCGCCCCGGCCGGGTCACCTCGCCGTCCTCCTGATGCTCCAGGACTCGGACCGGGAGCCTGGGCCCAAGGTCGCCAGGGCCTCCCACATCCCCGCCCCCACCCCGGGCTCCCACAGGGGCTTCGGGTAGCGGCAGAGGCCTTGCCCCTTCTCTGTCCCTGCCACCTGTCCACCTGACTGTCACAGCTGGTGACAAGGGTCAAAGCACTGCCATGTGGAGGGCAGGCACCAGCCACTGAGTCCACTGTCCTTGATCTTCACAGCCACCCCGCACCCCCCACAGATGCAGCAACCGCGGCTGAGAAGGTCACCTGCGGGAGGCCACCTGCACGGCCTTGGGTGGCCCCGGGGCAGTCTGCCATTCTGACCTTGTATCACTTCCTTCTGAATACCCAGTCCTGCCTGCCTTGCCCATCCCCGAGTGCTCTGATTCTGCCTCCTCCGTCTCTCTAGAATCCATGCCCCGACGCCACCCCCAAGCTCAAGTCATGGCACCCCAGGCTGCAACGACTCCCAAGGCTTCCATTCACCCCACAGGCAGAGGGCACTGCGCTGACATTGCTGACACTCCCAGTCTGCTCTAAGGGCCCGGCTGCCTGCCGGGAGCTCCTCGACTTCCTCCCCGAGACTCCAGCCTTACTGAGGCCCTCCAGGGCCCCTGCAGGGTCAGCCCTGCGGCCATACACTTGTCCCTCCCAGATGCGGGGGGAGACGGCCCACCTGCCTCGGCCACACCTGTGCCCTCCTCACCATCCCTACCTGCCTCTGCCTCCGGGTGTCTCTGGACCACCCTGAGTATCTGTCTTGGCCTGGCTGTCCTGCCGAACCCCAGGCCTCTGCTGAGCCCCTCTCAACAGCATCTCCTCCCAGCCCGCTGCTCGAGACAACTCTTCCTGAACTCCACCTCCAGACCCCACTTCCTCCTGCTCGTTCCGGTGGCCTCAGAACTGGGACTACAAGAGCTGGGAGGACCCAGGGGTCAGCTCGCACCTCCTTCCAACTTCCTCCTCTTCCCCTGGGATACTAGGCTCTGTCACTAGCCTGGGCTCTGAGCCTTTCGGGGTCCGTACCTTCTGGCCACGCAGATCTCTACACCAGGTCTCACGGCCCTGTGTTTCCTGCTGCCATGCCCTGCCACCCCTCACCCCAGGGCCTCCTTCCTTCCCTCTCTCCTCCCTCTCCCCCACGCTGAAGATCAAACCCAGGGCCTCACACATCTAGGCAAGGGCCCTACCTACTGAGCTGCACCCGGAGCCCTTTTTATATTTTGAGACATGGTCTTGCTAAGTTGCCCAGGCTGGCCTTGAGTTCTTGATCCTCCTGCCTCAGCCTCCTGAGTAGCACCACGTCTAGTTCAGCATCTTTCTATACCACCTAGGATGCAGGAAGCCAGAAGGTGGCGCCAGACGCCATCTGGATGGGGATGGGGGATGGGTGTGTATGTGCACAGGCGTCTGTAGTGTCTTACAGGCCAATCCTGCACCCAGTGACAGAACGGCAAAATAGCCAACGCTGACCTAGAACACTCCTGGCCAGGCCCTGTGCTAATAATATCCCAGTGATGGTCAGCAACTATAACTTTCACCAGATGCCGTTTATGCTACGCTGCATTAGGTCAGAGTCCCCCGATTCCCCTAGGAGGCAGGTCCTAGTACTCAAATAATGGGAACACACTGAAGCTCAGAGATGTTAAGTCCCCTGCCCAAGGTCACACAGCCAGGACCTGGCAGAGCGGGGTGGGTGCCCAGGCTGTCTGGGCACTGGCTGTGCAGGGTAGAAGCAGCCCGGAAGGGCTCTGGGGTCTCTGGCGGGAGAGGCTGGGGAGGAGGAAAATACATGAGACTGACAGCTGTGGTTTGACAGGATTTCCTGAAAGAATGGAAACGTTTCCCACCCCTGCTGTTCAAGATGGTAGCTGCCACTATGTGTGACTTCTGAACAGCTAAGGGACGACCAGTGTGACTCAAAGCCAACTTCTTAATTTCCTCTCATTTAAATTTGTTTAAATGGAAGCAGCTGGATGTGCTGGCACATGCCTATAGATTGCAGCACTCAGGAGGCTGAGGCAGGAGGATCCCCTTAAGTTCAAGGCCAGCCTGAATTACGTTGTGAGAACTTGTCTTAAAAAAACAAAAAATACAGCCACGCATGGTGGCGCGCACCTACAATCCCATAATTTGGAAGGCTGAGGCAGGAGGTTCCATTCAAATTTGAGGCCAGCCTGGGGTACATAGTGAGTTCAAGGCCAGTTTGAACTGCACAGCAAGACTCCATCTCAAAAAAAAAAAAAAAAGAAAAAGAAAAAAAAAACACAAGAAAAAGCCAAACAAATCAGTCAATCAATGGAAGTAAGCACATGTAGGTAGGTAGCAGTGGCCATACTGACAGCTTCAGACCAGGGTTCTTGCAACTCCTGCCCGAACGCCAAATCTTGCTTAGTTGTTTTTGTTTTGCAGTTCTGAGAGAACTGAACCCTGGGGGCTCTACCACTGAGCTACATCCTCAGACCTTTACATTTATTTATTTGGAGACAAGGTCTTGCTAAGTTGTCTGGGCTAGCATCAAACTTGCACACCTGCCTCAGCCTCCCGAGTGCTGGGATTATAGGCGTGCACCACCAGGCCCGGCTAACATCTTTTGTCTTCAAAGAAAAACAAGTAACACTAGGGCTGTAGGTTCAACACCCCTGTCCTAGAAGAACAGAAAAGAGCAGGGAGCAGCCTTCGCCCTGGGGTCAGAGTTAACTCACCAGCCCTGCTGCCTGGCTCCATCCTCACCCTTGTCTGCTGCTCTCCCTTCAGACCCACCTCCATGTCACCCAGGCCCCTCTTGGTGACAGCACCACTGAGAACAGCCCAGCTGCCTGAGCACCATGAACTGGGCCCCAGCGTCACGGCAGCCCTTGGAGGCAGGGACCACGACACCCACTTTCCAGAGGAGAAAACTGAGTCTGGAGGAGGTGACATGCATCCCCGAGGTCCCGGGGCTCGAAGGGCACCGCTGCTGTGCACACCCAGGTCTTCTCCGGTGCTACAGGGATGGCAGACAGAGGCAGCCACTGGGGCCTCTTGTGTCACACACAGGCATCTCTCCCTCGGCCACCACCACATGTGACAGCTGAGTGGGCTGGGGTGGATGCGGGCTCTGGTGACTTTGGCACGGCTCCTCCTGAGACCCTGGCCCCTCCCGCCCGGCTCACCGTTGATCAGTTCCAGGGCCTCCTCCTTGGTCCGGGTGATCTTCTCCTGCCGCCAGGATGAGGGCCGCCTGGACTGGCTGTGCTTGACCAGCAGGTGCGAACAGCGGACCCTGGCAGGCTCCCCCTGCCCGTTTTTGCTGCCGCCGCCACTGCCACTCCCACTGGTGCCGCTGGGCCGCTCCCACTGGCTGGCGTTGGTGATGTGGTTGAAATAGTACACGCGGCCTGCGGGGGAGGCGGCAGGGGTTCAGCCGGGGCCGGGACAGAGGACTGTGATAAAGGACTGGCTTGGGAGAGGTCGTCATTCAGCAAACCCACCTGCGTCCGCTGTGGGCCCCAGGATCCGGAGATCCAGGCTCCCTGCCCTTACAGACCTATGGTTCTGGGTGGGCCAGACAAGTGCTGAACAAGCAAGATGACAAGGTAACTTCCTTCCGGGAGGACTACCCACAGGAAGGGAAGAGGGACAGACGAGGCAAGAATTCAGCACCCAGGCCGCTCCAGGGTTTGTATCTGACTCAGCCACTTTCTGTACGATCTACTTTCCCTGGGCCTCAGTTTTCTTACCTGTAAAATGGAGATAACAATAGCCGCCTGGAGGGCCGTTGAGAGGATGAGTCCACACATCTGTGGAACGCTTGGCATCCAGCCTGGCACACATCGGGAGTAGGACATGCTTTTAGAAATCTTGTCTTTTTGAGGTACTGGGCATTGAACTCAAAGTCTCTAAACTGAGCTACATCCCCAACCCTTTTTTATTCTTTTTGAGACAGGGTTTCACTATTTAACTCAGACTGGCCTTCAACTCACTAGGTAGCACAGGCAGGTCTCGAACTCACAGCTATCCTCTAGGCCTTTTTTTAAAAAAAAAATTGAGACAGGGTCTCTCCAAGTTGTTAAATTGTCCAGGTTGGGCTCACACTTGCCTTAGATTATAGGGATGCACTTTTTCCTTTCTTTTTCCTTCTTGAGACAAGGACTTGCTATGTTGTCCTCGGTGGCCTTGAACTGGGCTCAAGCCATCCTCCCACCTCAGCCTCCTGAGTAGCTGGGACTACAATTGTGTACCACCAGGCACATCCATTTCCTTTTGTCTCTTTTGTTGTCCTTCTTAACAGTACTGGCGATCAAGAGCAGGGCCTTGTGCACGCTATGCGTGCACGCTATGCAAGCACGCGACCACTGCAGCCCCACTTGTGACCGCTGTTAACTCCATTATACAGAAGACAAAACTGAGGCCTCAACTTCTGGACCTCTGGTAACACCTGGGATGGGCAACAATTCCTGTGCTTTACTCTGTGCTCCTCAGGAAGACGGGGTCCAAATCAGCTGTGCAACACTCAACAGCTCTGCTCTTAACCCCCACCAGCGCCCCGTGTTGCCCAGCTAGGATGCAGCATTACCGGAGGCCCGGGGTCCCCCAGGCAGCCAGCAGCACACAAGAAGCTTGAAGGAAGCACCCTGGAGATTCTGGGTGTCATTCCGAGAGCTAAGAGTCTGGGCTGCACAGCGGACCTAGGACCGTGAAGGGGCGGGTACCACCCTGGAAAAGGCTGCCAGGCTCGTGCTGAGAGCAGCAATGGCCCAGGAGCTTTGCAGAGTGTCAGGCTCACGCTGCAGGTCACAGTCACAGGCCAGGGTTGGGGCAGGCTGGGCAAGGGCACGGACTCTGGGAGCCAACCCTGCCGAGCCACGCTGCAGAGTTCTCATCTGCAAACTGAAGCGAGGCCAGAGAACAAGGGCATGAAGGCTCAGGGAGCGGATGGGAAGAGTCGGTGTGCGCAAAGTGTTCGCCACAGCGCTGGGAGCTCAGTACGAGAAGTTATTCCTGCGACTACGATTACTGTGGCCTGTGGAGGCGGACAGTAAGCCCGGACCGACCCAAAGATGCCAGGCTGCTTCTCGGGCATCGGCAGGGGCAAGGGACGGAAGCCGCATCTCTTGAAACTACCTGATCTTGGATGAGCTCCTTCAGTGTTCTGGCCTCGGAACTTCCCCAGCTGTAAAATGGGAGTCGTAACTACTGCACAAGAATCGCGGCGCTTCAGAGACAGAATCTAAATACTTAAAGCGCTTGGCACAGCGCGGGGCGCGATGTAATCGTGCACGGTCATTACCGAGCCACAGCCTCGCACCGGACCCCGAAACACCACCCCGACGGCACAGGTCCGGCAGCCGGGGTGTCGGCGGGGTGGGGCCGCCCGCCCGCCCGCCGCACGGTGTCGGGGTGCGCTCCTCCCAGGGGACGCCCCCGCCGCGCCCAGCGGAGCGCACAACTCCCCGGGGCATCGCGTGCATAGGCCCAGAGGCAGCGGCACGCGCTGGGGCAGCGCGGCAGTTTCCCGGTCCCTCGCCCCTCCCGCCCGGCTCCTGAAGCTCACACTCCGCCGGGGTGGGCCGCGGCCGCTACCCCGGGACACCGTGCGGAACCCAAGACTCCCCGGGAGGAAGGAGGCCACGGCCCCGCGTCCCAAGGGGAGAGCTCGAGCCCGGCCTCCTGGGCCCGCGCGGCCCTGCCCCAGGCCCGATCCCAGCCGCACCTGAGCTGCGGCTCATGCGCTTCTCCCAGCCGGGCGGCAGCTTCTCCTCGTCCGCCATCTTCCCTCCTGCCGCAGCGCCCGTTCCGCCTCCGCCGCACCGCCTGTCGCTTGCGCCCGCCCACCGTCGCTGTCGATTGGCTAGTCGCTGCCCGCACCGGGGCCTGGAGGCGATGCTTATTGGATATTCCAACAGTCCCGATTGGTTTTCTGGCTTTCTACTGGGTAGAAACGAGGGTAGGCGGAGCCACCCACGGTTTACCTGGGCCCCGCCCCTGGACGGCCTCTCCCAGGCCCCGCCCCCCCCTCCACGGCTCCTAACTGGTGAGCTGGGGACGCGGGCCCGCCCTTTTCAACGCGCTTTGATGAGCGCCAAAAAAAGTCCCGACCCCTTCTTGTCGCTCTTCGACGCAGAGCTCATCGGGGCAGGATAGGGCTTATTAATTGGCTATTGCAGCACTAATTCCCGCCCCCCGGAGCCGTGCCCGGAGGCCCGCAAGACCCCTAGCAGTAGCGGCTGGCTGGTAGGGAGGTAACGGCAGCCGAGGAGGCGCTCGGGGAGGGCGTTGAGGCCTGCACCGTTACCATAGTAACGCAGTTGCCTCGGTGATAAGTAGCTACGGGCCCAAAGCCTAAATTCGGCTCTTCCATCCTCCCTCTCCCACCTGTTTTCTCCAGATGTCCAAAGCTAACCCATCCTTTTTATTTTTTGCAAAGCGAACTACTTACCCACTCCACTGACCCAAACACTTCGCACGTCTTTTGGAACCCACCTCTTTCGACTTACTCCCTCCCAATCTGGCTCGTCCTGGGTAACTAATGGGTGATGGCACTGCCAATCAGACGACACAGGAGGAGACGCTGGTGGGAGACCTGGCTGAGTTTGAACCAGTTTAAAGTCTGTAGAGCCCGTGGGACACTGAGGAGGTGTGTGGGCAGCCAGAGTTGGGGAACGTGGGCTGCGGAGATATGAGAGACAAAGGCTCCTGCGGGGGAGTCTGATTCCATGGGCCTTTATGACTGTTAGGAAGGACGGGGCTCAGGACAAGAACCCATCGAAGCACGACTGAGGGCAGGATGTGCTGGGTTCCGCAGTCCTGGACCAGAATCCCTTGCTTCGAAGCCCACTCATCTGCTTGCTATTGCCTTGAACAAATAACTGCATTTCTGCACTTCACCTTCTATGGCTGCAAAGTAGAGTTGAGCAATAACACCTAGCTCTTTCCTCTGATGTGAACTCAGAACATAAAGCACTCAGAGAAGTGTCTGGCTCATACAAGGATGGGTGGTGGCTGGTATCTGGTGAATTAAAAAAAAAAAACCAGATAATAGGACTGCATAGCAATTTTAGTATGTATGAAGGCAAAGCAAAATTTAAAAATACAGAACACTAATTTAAAAGAATGAATGAATCAGTTACAGAAAGCTACCAATTATAAAGAGGCTAGGGATGTGGCTCAGTGGTAGAACACTTGCCTAGTGCATGCAGGTACTGGGGCCAATCCCCAGTACCTCAAGCACAGGCATAAAAATGTGAGCTGCTGAATGGCAGAACTAGAGTATGTGTATTTGTTTCAACTGGGTAAAAACTGCATAGGTTTAGATCACCTGTGTGATCTAAATTTCTGCATGAAGCTGGGCATGACGGCACATGTTTGCAATCCCAGCTTCGAGGGAGGCTGAGACAAGAGGATGACAAGCTCGAGTCCAGCCTGGGGAATTTAGCAAGATTCTGTCTCAAAATAAAAAGTAAAAAGGGCTGGGGATGTAGCTCAGTGGCAGAGGGGCCTTGGGTTCAATGGCCAGTACTGAAAAAAAAAAAAAATTCTGGATTTGTTAAAGTATGTTAATGACCACTGCTACTGATGCTAGAAAAGAAATGAGGAACTTAAATATAAAATGTTTAATTTTGTATAATGATGTATCAGCATAATAATCTTTTCTTTTGAAAAACAATTTCAGCTGGACACAATGGTGCATGCCTGTCATTCCAGCACTCAGGACGCTGAGGCAGGTGA